AGGTGGCAAGTGGCGAGGCAGGAAGGCATCTTTCCCTCACCCATTTAACTGCAGATGAGGGGTGGGGCCAGATCTCCCATGCAAACTCGTGGGGGCTGGATCACCTGCACCCCCTGTCAACAGGGTCAGCTCTAATGTGCTGCCCAGCTGAGGAGTAGGGCCCACTCTCCTGAGTGCTGCAGCCAGTAAGGGGCGGGGCCCACTCTGTGCATCTCTATCCTCACTGCCTTTGGTGGTAACAGGAGCCACAGACTTGACACAGACTACAGCTGCAGCAGGGCCACGGACCCAGACATGGCCCTTGGCAGTAACCCAGGCCCAGACAGCACCATGAGCCTGGTGGTAGTGCAGGCCACTCAGATCTGTATGGCCCCAGCAGAGGCACACTAATATGGCCCTAGGTGGCGGCCCAGACCCCTGACATATGCATGGCCCTTGGTGGCAACATGAGCCATGGCTGTCAACACAGACTGTGGCTGTGGTTGGACCATGGACCTAGACATGGTCCTTGGCAGTAACCCGGGCCCTGGTGTCACCGTGGCCTTGGTTGGCAGTGCAGGTCACTCTGATTGGCATGGATACAGGTGCAGCCTGGCCCTCAAACACCAACATGGTCCCAGGCGGTAACCCAGATCCTGGGCACCTGCCAGGTTTGCAGGAGCCTTAGTCATTAATACGGACCCTGGGTGTGACAGGGCCACAGACCCAGACATGGCCCAGGCTGTCCCTTGGGCCCATGCATCGCTATGGATCCAGGTGGCAGTGCTTGTCATTCGGGTCTGTATGGGCTTGACAGCGGTGCAGCCCTCGGACACCAATCTGGCCAGAGGTGGTGGCCCAGATCCTAGGCATCTGTGTGACCTTTGGTGGCAACACGGGCCATGGACATCAACACTGACTCGGGCTGCAGAAGGACCATGGACCTAGACATGGTCCTTGGCAGCAACCAGAGTCCAGATGTCATTGTGGCCCTAGCTAGCACTGCAGGTCACCCATATCAGCATGGCCCCTGTGGCATATATGTGGCCCCTGAACGCCAACATCTGCAGGTGGCAGCCCAGACCCCTGGCTTCTACTTGGCCTTTGATGGTAAGAAGAGTCATGTGTAGCTGAAGTTTTCCTGTGTCCCACCTGGCCTGTGGTCAGGACAAATCTCTCTCACCTACCAGTCCTGCAGCTGCTTGGACCCAAGTTAACACATAGGGGCTTATATTAATTAAAACTGTATGGCCTACTGACTCAGGCTTCTTGCTATCTAGTTCTTATATCTTAACCCATTTATATAAATCTATACCTTACCAGTATCTTTACATCTTGCTTCTCTTGGCATGGCTGGCAGTGTCTCCTGACTCAGCCTTCCCTTCCCAGAATTCTCCTCTCTCTTTATCCCACCTATACTATGCTTCCTGCCTGGCTACTGGCCAATCAGCGTTTTATTTATCAATCAATCAGAGCAACACACATTCACAGCATACAGAAAGACATCCCCAGCAGTCATGGACATCAACACGGACCCAGACATGGCCCTTGGCTGCAGTTTGGGTCCAGAGGACATTATGGTCCCGGATGGCAGCACAGGCCACCCAGATCTGTATTATAGCCTCAGTGGCAGCTTGACCCTAAAAGGTCAACATGGCCTCAGGTGTCAGCCCAGGCTACTGGCCTCTGCAGGTCCCTCGGTGGCAAAAGGCGTCACAGACATCAACATAGAGCCCGACCACAGCAGGGCCACGGCCTTGGCGCAGACATGGCTCTTAGCAGCATTCTGGGTCCAGATGTCACCATGGTCCTGGGTGGCAACACAGGCCTCCTAGATTGGCATAGGCCCATGGTCCAAGGTGGAAGCGCAGGCCTCCCAAATCAGCATGGCCCTGTCAGGGCACATTCCTCGGACACTGGCATGGTCACAGGTGTCAGCCCAAACTTTGGATGCACACAGGACCCTTGGAGATAATTTGAGCCACAGACATCAAGACAGATCCCCACAGCTGTGTCAGGGCCAGGGCCCAGGACATGAGCCTCGGCAGCAGCCAATGCCTGGACATCACCATGGACCTAGGTGGCAAGCAGGCCATCCATGTCAGCCTGTTCACTGCCCTCGCCCGCTAAGATCCACCTCTCTTCCCAGCACATGAACCATTCTGCTTCTTCCTCTCCCCCAACTCCCCACCTTGTACTCGCTCACCATAATGGTGCCTGAACGCCCTGCACCAGAATCGCCGGGCCGGATGCTGGTTGATTTCTGCCCGCCCAAGCCAGGAGGCATGGCAGAGAGGAGCAGTGAGTGGCTGTCCTCCTCACATGTCTCCGGGGCCCGCAATTAACCCATTCATGGAAAGCATTCTAGTTTGGAGTAGCGACTCAAAGTCAGCGGCATATAGCCACGTTGCCGTCACATTGCTCTGGTTCCACTCTCGTCCCTTGTCTTACTAATTATTACCATGTGAATCACACCCCTCCTTGTACACTGTCCACCCACAAATAGCTTAATTATTAATTAATTATTATTAATTTATGCAGCCTTTATTTAAAAAAGATAGCAGAAAGAGTGACAATAAAAACATTTGTGCTACCTTTTGAATTCTGTGTACTTAACTGTGTACTTAACTTCCTTTTTCTTTTCAGTCCCAGGAATTGAACTCAAGGCCTCATGCATTCTAGTGATCTGCTGCTGAACCCCAGCCCCAAACCCATCACTAATATAGTTATCTTGACTAGTTATTTAAACAAAGTTATTTTTGTTGGGCATGGCATTATGCATGCCTTTAATCCCAGCACTCTGGAGGCAGAGGCAAAGGCAGGTGGGATCTCTCTGACTTCCAGGCCAACCTGGTCTACACTGTGAGTTCGAGGCCAGCCTGCTCTACAAAGTGAGTTCTGGGACAGCCAGAGCTATTTCACAGAGAAACTCTGTCTCAAAAACAAACAAACAAAAAAAAACCCAAAAAAACAAAAACAAACAAACAAACAAAAACAAAACAAAACTCCAGCACCTTGGGGGCTGGAGAGCTGGGTCATTAGTTAAGATTGATGGTTATTCTTACCTATGATCCAAATCTGGCTCTTAGCACTCATGTGGTAGGGCTCACAACTACCTGTAACTCTGTAGACCTGTACATAGAAACTTATCTTTAGGGCTGGAGGGACAGCTCATCCATTCAAGGCTAGGCTCACAACCAAGAACATAAACTTATCCTTAACAAGCAAGCAAATGAACACACCTAGCATCTCCCTACATATTGGCAAAGCCAGGCAGTGAAAAATTTGGTGGTAAATGAGGGTCACACAGGGGTGCAGATCCTGCAAGCCATTGACCTTGGCTCCTGCTTACACAATCTTTCCATTTCTGGCTGAGTGTCTGCGTACAGTAGGCCCTGGACACTTTTCTTGTCATTCACCACTGGGTTGAACTTTATCTGAGTATCTTTAAAAAAAAAAAAATCCCCCCAAAAAACAAACCTTAAACTTATTTAGCCGGGCGGTGGTGGTGCACGCCTTTAATCCCAGCACTTGGGAGGCAGAGGCAGGTGGATCTCTGTGAGTTCAAGGCCAGCCTGGGCTACAGAGTGAGATCCAGGAAAGGCACCAAAGCTACACAGAGAAACCCTGTCTCAAAAAACCAAAAAAAAAAAAAAAAAAAAAAAAAAAAAAAAAAAAAGAAAAGAAAAACAATTTTTTATTTATCTATTAATTAATGTGGATGAGTGTTTTGCCTACACATATATCTGTGCACCATGTGCATGCCTGGTACCTGTGGAGGCCAGAAGAGGACCTTGGATCCTTTGGAACTAGAGTTACAAACAACTGAGAGCTATCATGTGGGTCCTGGGAACCCAGGTCCTCTGCAAGAACAGCAGATACTCTAACCATTGAGCATCTCTCCAGCCCCTTAAAAAAAAACAAACCTTTTTTTTTTTTTTTTTTTTTTTTTATCCCTCCCCACCTTTATTTATTTTTTTTTTTTTTTTCTCAAGATATTGTTTCTTTGTATAATCACTCTGGCTGTCCTGGAACTCATTTAGTAGACCAGGCTGGTCTCGAACTCAGCGATCCACCTGCTTCTGCCTCCTGAGTGTTGGGATTAAAGGCACATGCTACTACCACTTGCCCGCTAAAAAACTTTTTAAAAACAGAATCAATTTTATTCCATGAGTGTTTTTGCCTGTATATGCATGTGCACCTTGGGTAGGGCTTGGTTCCAGTGGAATTCAGACGAGAAAGTCTCAGATCTCCTGGAACTAGAGTTAAGGATGGCTGTGAACCATTATGTGGGTGCTGGGAACTGAGCCTGAGTCCTCTGTGAGAGCAGCCAGTGCTCTTAACCACTGAGTCATCTCTCCAACTCTGAGTGTGCACCTTTAAAAAGACGGTCACTCTTTCTTCTACCTGCTTTTTGGGTCAGAATTCTCATTCCCGGTACTGAGCTATGGTCCTGGTCTAAACGATGGTCCATAGCTCCCTCTGGTGGTTGCTGAAGGACAACACCAGTCACTTCAGTGTGAAATAAAGGCCCAGTGAGGGTCGGAGTTGCACATATGGAGGATGTTCTAGTCATGGTTCTGCAGATGCCAAATAATCCAGAAACACTTCCATAAACCAGTTATTTGTGGTTAATGGGTAAGTTCAGCTTGTTCCTGTCATGGCCCTTGGGACTCCCTCCCTTCAGGTCTAATCTAGAAGACTCTGAGTGTGTTCAACCCTGTGCTTCTCCATACCCAATCCCCTTTCTGTCTCGTGGCTTTTGCAGGGACTGCCCTCAGCCCTCTCCTTGTTTTGGTCTTCCAGCTCTGCAGGGCACTTCCTGATGGCTTCACCCCAGGTTCTAAGACATCCTGGCTAGCTCTCCTCAATGATTTGCACCTACAATCACCCTTGCTTTGGTCTGCCTTCCCCTCGATTAGTTTCAGCACCCTGCAGGGCATCTGGATGCTGGGCAGGTGATCGGTGCTCGGAGGACATAGCAGGAAAGGCAGGTGACGTAGGGACATAGCAGAAGCCGCTTTAGACAAAGTCTGGAGGTTTATTGAACAATCGCAACTGAACATGGTAAAGTCGTCCTTCACAAGGCTTACTCTCCCAGGCAGGAGGGATGGTGGATGCTCTTGGGCTTTCTCCGTGGAATCCCTGTCTCACCTCCCAGCTTCCCTGCCTGCAGCTTCCCCTGGGGACCCAGCCAGTGGAACATGTTAAAATCCCGAAGCTCAGGACCACTCTCACGCAATGGTGATGGCAGGGCCCTGGCTCAGCATCAGCCTTGAACCAAAATATGACTCGGCTTTGTCGTAGGAAGCATCAGGGGCAAGGGTTGATGCGCTCAGGGGTGGAACGGCACTCTGCACTCTCTGTCTCTTTTACACGGCCAGTCTTTAGAAAACTACAGACACAAGGCTGAGCGCACACTGCCTACTCTGTCAGAACCAGGGACGGCTGAGGCGAAGAGCCTGCAGCTCTCAGCTCCTCACAGGAACAAGCGAGACAGGAAGGAGGGGGCACCACGAGGCTGACTTTGGAAATCCACTATGCCCGCCGCCCAGGAGAGCAGCCTCAAGAGAAGGTCTATCATTCCCGGCTGCTTTCAAAGCCGGAAGCTATGGCTGGCAGGAGAGGGTAAGACGGCTTGCCACACAAAGGCCTTAGCATCACCACAGCAAGGACATCGCCTTCCAAAATGTTTCTGGAATCTTCTGGGCTGAGGGGTTGTGAGGGAGGCTGCCTTTCTAACCACATCTTGTTTTGTGATCTCGGCCTCTGAATAAAGCTTTGGAGGAAAAGAGGCCAGCCGCCTGGCATGTCACTTGGCCAGTGGCATGTCCACGGTCCTTCTGCCTGTGCAGACTGTCAGCTGAGTGGAAACCTGACCCTTGGAGACAAGGATTTCCACACCTGACATCAGAACAAGGTGGAAATGAAGCATTTGCAGTCAGCCACCAGACCAACCTAGTCCTTCCTATGGCATACCTCCTCAAGTCTTATGCCCCAAGATCAGAGCTCAGCAGTCCCACACGCTGAGGTGAGCTCAGAGGAAGTGGCCGCCCCACCCGAGAAGGGGGATGAGAACCAGATGAGTATGGAATGGAGTGAGCGAGACTGAGGATGGCTTGTGGCTGCCCTGCCCGAAACCATCTGCTTGGCTTGACATCACCTGGAAATCCAGCTGGTCATCTCGCCCCTGAGAGTGAGGGACAGGCACAGCACTTCTGGGGATCGGCATGTCCCCCTACAAAGGGCTGCCAGGTCCCTAGAAGCTGCGGGCTCCTAGAGCCATCCTGTCCCAGGGAGGGCTCTTGCATCCGTAGGCAGTTGCCCCTGCCGTGTGGGCCTCTGGGTCTCAGGTTCTGCCTTGAGCCTAGCACCTCCTGCTTGAGTCAGAAGGAAACACACACACACTCTGCTCATAGGACCTGCACAGGTGCCTCTCCTCCACCCACCCATTTGTCTGTCTGGCAAGGCACTAGGAAGTGGTTCAAGTTTAGGGGATCGGCTGCTCGGTTGCATTTTCTCTTTATAAAAGGCACAGTTTTTATTGTCACGAGGCCACACTGCTCTCTGAGGACTCGACTCCCCTTGACTGTAACCCCCACCCCCACTTGATTCTAGACCCCCCCATCCACCCCCATCTGGATTCCTTCCTAGCTGGCCACTTGTAAGGTAGGATGTTCATCTGGAAAAGGACACCAGGAATCCACAAGTGAGCTGTGACCACCCAGGAGCTGCATGGAGGAGGCTCAACACCAGCCACACCTGGCCAAGCTGGGGGGGCTTGCTGACCTCAGTACCAGAATCTCTCCAGCGGAGTTCTGTCCCCAGGACCACGTATCAGTTACTTCACTGGTAAGTAACACGATCCAGTGACCCAATCCTCGGAGGGTGAGTTTTTGTTTGCGACCCCCCTGGGACCCTGACATGGGGCTAGGGGTGATCTGGTCAGGGGACACTAGCTTATGAGGACCTCGCTGTTAACGAGGCTGCAGCTGTGATGGTCAGGCATTGGGTTGTACCAAAGCCTCTGGTCCCCCACTGCCTCTACCCCTAGGGCCACACGTGGGCTTGGGTCAGGGGTTGCCTGGTACTTGGCTGCTTGCACTGTATGCCCACGCACCCCATGGCTCATCTTGGCTTTTGACAGAACCACAGTACTTTTCAGAAACTCCGGGGTTCTGTGAGGTTAGGACCGCAATGGCCATAATCTGGGGGGATGCTGCTTTCCCCCAGGGGATTCTAGAAGTGAGCACCTCACAGCACCCCATTCCTCTCTGAGGCAGGGAGCTGCCAAGGAGAGATACAGAGAAAGGGCTTTGGAAGCATGGGTTGGGAGCTGTTCAGGCAGGAGGTCTACTCGGCCAGCTGAACTAGCCCTGAAAACCTGGTACCCAGAGAGCCCTAAAGCTAGAATGGGCATCTGAAACACCCAGAGAGCCAGGGGAGGCATCCTTTACATCCATCCGGCTGCAGAGTAAGGGGGGGGGGACCCTTGCCTGGTTGCTGGCCAGGGCGAGTTATGGAACACTCTGAGGCCCCACTGGGCTCTCCCTGCCCTGGGCCAACACAGGCAATATTGGCAGGCATCCCCGGCATGGGCAGACTGCCTTGCCAGCGGCTGGCACATAGGCTTAAAAGCGGCCCCGAGGCCAATACCGCCTTTCTTCCTAGGGCACTGTCATGTCTGGGAGCAGCCCGAGAGCTGGGCAACCTCATAGGACTAATTTCCTGGCCTGAGGCTGCCCACAGGTATGCCAAACACTTAGAGGACATGTTGGCAGGCTGAGGAACTCTGCGCTAACGTAAGCGGGCTCTGGCTTCTTGTAGAGCCGTTTGTCTGGGCTGTTCTCCCTCTGGCCGCACCACACAAGTGCTTCAAGAACCCTCCGCCCCAAGCCATTTGGCCCAGCACCCTGGTGCCCACAGATCCCCTTCTCCCACGGGAGGAGGAAGGTGTGCAAGCTCTCCATAGCAACCCGAGGGGCTTGCTGAGGAGGTCTGAGGCCTCAGTGTCTGTTGAACTTCTCTAAGACCGTCGAGTTGGTATGTTCGAAGAGCCACTGCTGGGTGAGGGAGGCGGGGTTGCAGGCGTTCATGAAGATCCTGCGGTCGCTTTCACTGCAGTCCATGCAGCTGCCGCTCACAGGGTGGTACAGGGTCTTGTCCTACAAAACAGGGCGGCTGTCAGGCGGGGGTGCGGGTGGGGGTGGGGGGCACAGCCGCCATGACAGCAACGAGGACGCAGGAAGTGGACCTGACGGGTGCTCACATCCTGCTGGCCCTGCTCTTGGCCAGCATCTCCTGTTTCCTTGTGATGAACGCTCCTCTAAGTGGGACCTTCAACACCGCCTGCTTCCAATCTCGATGCCACTCTGTCCCTGCTGTATGGCTTGGCTGCTTCCTTCTCTCTGTCTCTCTCTCTGTCTCTCTCTGTCTCTCTCTGTCTCTCTCTGTCTCTCTCTGTCTCTCTCTCTCTCTCTCTCTCTCTCTCTCTCTCTCTCTCTCTCTCTGAGACAGTCTTACTATGTAGCTCTGGCTGACCTGGAACTTGTTATGTAGACCAGGCTGGTCTCATCTCACTGAGATCGGCCTGCCTCTGTCTCCACAGTGCTGAAATTAAGATGTGCATCACCACACCCTGGCTTGGCTTTTCTCTCTCCCTCCTCCCCTCTCTCTCCCTCTTTTCTTTCTTTCTTTCTTTCTTTCTTTCTTTCTTTCTTTCTTTCTTTCTTTCTTTCTTTCTTTCTTTCTTTCTTTCTTTCTTTCTTTCT